AAGGACTTTTGGATAAATCCAAGTTTCTGACTTTTAGACCATAATGCTGAACTAGTAACACATTGGAGAATTCTAATGGGAAACCTGATGGCTTCATAAAGCTGTTAACAAAAAGGATTAGTTACATAGGACTGAGTGAACTGATAAATTGCTATAATTTTTATGGCTTTTATCTAAAAATAACTGGTTTAAATCTGTGTTTTCCAGGTGTAAGGAAAACTTCCTTAACCTCTGACTTACAGTAACTTGGTAAATTATATCTTTTGTAAGCAAAAGTAAAACTTAAATCTTTCTCTCTCTATCTGGATTGATCCTGCCAGTAGCATGTGATTGTCTCAAGAGATTAAGCTATGGCATGGCCAGTACAATGAAACTGAAGATAGCTCATTAAATCAGTTATGGCTCCTTTGGTCACTAGATTATTGTAACTGGACTACAACTAGTTATACTAATCATTGCTTTACTTTATTCTTTGTTTTTAAATTGTGTTTTGTGTCTCCCTGTTGCACTATGTCATTATCAATGTTACTAGCTGCATTACTTATATCCTGACTAATTTATAATATGGTTGTCTCTTGCAGTAACCAATGTGTAATGAGGCCTCCAACAAAACTTCTACAGCTGAACATCTTGAGAAAATAGATCACATTTATAACATAAAATAATTATAACAGTGTGATTCTAGGTATGGGAAGAAGCAACAATGGAAAATGTCTCCTGGATGATAATTAGACAGAATCCAGAGAATCTTTAATTATTCATGGGGGTCTAATCCAAAATTTAGCACCTGGAGTGGTGCATCAAGAAGTTTTGCCTGATCTGGGATGAACCTCACAGCACCATGAAACAAAGTTTGATCATGAAATGCCTCCCAAATATTGGTCAAATTCCTGACCAAGAAGGGAAGACCTGAGAAATGGAATCAACAATTGAAACCCTCCAATGTGAGCTGGTGAACCCCAAGTCAACTCAAGGACAAAAACCTCAGGAAAAAAAAACTCAGGAGGGAGAATACCTGCCGTCTAACAGTCATCAGATTGCACCCATTCCCTGTGGTGAACCTTGAGGAAACTCTTGAGAACACAGGGTCACAGGCCCCAGACAGCTGAATTACATATCAAGGAAATAATTTTAATGAGCCCTGACTCGTGCATCTTCCCATACACAGAAAAGTGCAAAATTTCTTGAGATACTGCCTCCTGGGTTTGAAGTCCAATATTTCTAAGTTGACAGGTATAAAGTAGGCACTTTCCAAGGAGGAACAAAAAGAAAACAAATCTCAATATTTGGAACACTGGCACCAAAGGCAGACACTCCCAGAAAGATTCATCTGACAAACAGAAAGATCTGTTTGTCCCCTTTTCCTACAAGATTGTCAAATGGACCCTGACAGTGGGGAACTGTTGCAGACAAGAACCAATTCTGACACCATGTTGGAACTGTTTCTTTGACTTGCTTTTTGTTGCTGTTGTTATTATAATCATACATAATGGCCTGCCTCAGAAAACCCAGTCCCTCTGCCTAACTGTTGGACTGAAGTGCCTTTGTTTAGCTCACAGGGAGATAATCTGACACTTCCCACCTTGAATGTTTGCAGGAAAGAAGAGATTAACACATCCCTTCCACAGGCTGCCCATTTCTGGAGATGTCTTGCAAGACATGGGCCTTTTTTACTTTACTTCCACACTGCCTCTCCCTCTCTATTCTGCCTTTATTTCCTCATCTTCCTGACATCTTTTCTGTAAAAGAACCTGGCATCTAGACACTGATACTCGTTTTGAGACATTAGTCTGCCATTTTCTCAGGCAGCCAGTTTTCCAAATAGTCTCATAAAAATTTAAAAAAAAAAATCTGTGTGGGAAGGATTACTTTTCTATTCAACTATAAAAACTGACATTGAATCAATCATTAAATAAATATTTATGGAACAGCTAGTATGTACCAGTTTTTAAATAGAAAACTTGACCATTTATCATAAAAGAAATGGAGAAAAAAGTTACTGCACAATAACTATTGATTACTTTAATAAATATTTATTACATGTCTTCTAATATTACTGTTCTGTGGCTGAGAACACAGTGGTAAGATATTTAGTTTGTGGGTTTGAGGACTACAGGGAGATAAGTATCTGGAGCCTGAAACAGTGCGAAGCCATCAAGTGGCTTAGGAGAATCACATCACAGATTTTTTTTTTCTTTTTTTTTAAAGTTCACCCTTATGGTTGTGTAAAGAGAAAATTTTGAGGGATAAGAAAGGAAATGGTGAGACCATTTAGAAAATGATTAAAGGAAGAAGGTGGTGGAATCTGGGACTGTGACAAAGCAGCAAGGAGCTATGAAAAATGGGATGTATTTTTCAGAAAAAAACAATTAAGCTGATAGAGTGGATGTGAGAGTTGACCAGGTTTGTGGCTTTTGGAAGTAGGTAGATGGTGGTGATGCCACCTAATGAAAATGAGAAAACTGATGGAGGGCCAGGCTTGTGAGAAAAATAAAGTTATAGTTTGGATATATTAACTTTGCTACATCTATGAGTCATTCAAGTGAGAGTATCAATTTAGGCAATTGTTATAAGAATCTGGAATTCTTACTCAGTAGAGATATAAACATTTGGGCAGTTCACCTGAGATGTAGCAGTAAGAGCTACAAGGAGTGAAGGGCTCACACTCCTAGCTACCCAACCTTCAGCAATATGGATGCCAAAATCCAAAAGAAATTACCACCAAATTGATTTTGGTATTTTAGTAAAAGAATACACTGTGACCAATACGGATTATTTTAGGAATACAAGAATGGCTCAAAGTCATGAAATCAATTAACCTATTAGTAGGTTAAGGAGAAAAAAATGATTCTCTGATATTGCAAAGTTTTCAATTACAATCAAAGTTCTCACTTAAATTCAGGAATCAGTGCTTTCCTAACTTTTTAAGTTTAAGATGTTGAAAAAATTTCTATAGAACTAGAAGTAATACACAGCCCACACCCTATCTTAACAGAAAGAGGAAAAGCAATCTCATGAATGAGATTAACAAGACAAGAATGTAAGTGATTGCTGCTATTTTGTACTGCTATGGAGAAAGCCAGGTATGATTTTCTATCTGGAAAATCCAGGACAGTCATCCAAAAATGCCCTTGAATAAATAAATGAGCTTATTTATTAGGGTGGCAGTTTTTAAACTCAACATATAGAAGAGTGAATACTCAAATTAGTTGTAATTACTTAGAAGATTTAGTGTGGAAAAAAAAAATTCCACCCATTATGGCAACAAAAAATTCAAACTAAGATTTAACTTATTAATAAATAGTAGAACTTAGATGAAAAAAGCTGGAAGACTGAAAAAAAAAAAGAAAGATAGGCAAGGTTTATGACTGGGAAAATCAAGATTGAAGATTTTGAAAGATGCCAATTCAACTCCAATTAATCATTAAGTCAATACAATTTCAGTCCTAATTCAAAGAGGATTTTAAAGAATATAATGATACTCAAAATTAAGATGGAGAAGGCAATGGCAACTCACTCCAGTACTCTTGCCTGGAAAATCCCATGGATGGAGGAGCCTGGTAGGCTGCAGTCCATGGGGTCGCTAAGAGTCGGGCATGAATAAAGCGACTTAGCAGCAGCAGCAAAACTAAGAAGACTGAAGAAATTACTGAACAGGAAGAAAATCTAGGGTACACTTGGCCTGTCAGGTATCAGATGGATTGGAAAACTATAATAAATATGATCATGTGGCATTAGTGCATAAGCACAATGGCAGAGCGATGGAACGAGAGAGAAGGAACAACAACAAAAATATCCATATATTGTCCCATTCATCTTATTCGCTTTTATACATGGGGATTGAGAATCAGAGCTGGTAGGAACTTATGTCCAGTGGTCGTGTGCCAGCGGCCAAACTTTTGATACTCAAAATATGTTACACCCTTGAGACTTATTTAGTTAAATTGGAAACTGGCACCAAACAGTCCCTCTATCCATCCTTGCCCTGGGGAAATTTCCAATTTTTCGTAAGCTAAGTGGAACTCATTTGTCATATTTTCATCTTTTGAGGTTACTACTCCTTAAAAAGAGTCTAATGCAAGCTGTACAAAGTTACAAACCATTTTGAGATGGAGGTTTTTCCACTGACACTGAGGCCTAGCCCTGGACTGAATAGGGCAAACGGTCCCCAGTCTGGTCCATCCTCAGAGTGATGTGAAGAGCTTTAAGAAAAGCAACATCGCTAAAGTCTACACCAGGCCAACAGCCTGGGAGTATCTAGTGATGGGATTTAGGAATCTATAATAAGGCTTCCCAGGGAGCTGCACTTTAGCCAATCTTCGGAGCTTGGTTTCGGGAAGAAAACATTTAACATTTATAATGTTTTGCATAAAAGGGAACACCTCCCTTGATGTGATCACACAATATTAGAACAGCAATAAGCAGAACATGGTTAGGAGAAAAAGGATGAACAAACTGAGAAAAAATTCTCCCAACTGTAAGAACTGTTAAACACACTATTCACTCAAAGATTATTTTGCTGTAGCCACCACAGCTTTAGACACAGTCAGGTTTTGAATGTTTCATATGCAGCAGTTTAGTTGATAAACTGGTTGCCTTGGAAAAGTAAATAAGATCTAAAAAGGGAGAATGGAATAGGTAAGTTAAAACTACAGCTTAGAAAAACTGTTACCTCATAAAACCTTTTGTCTGTTGATAGTCACCTTCAGTGTTGATTTGGTGCAGAAATGTTAGGTTATTGCTTTTATTATACTATTTTTTAAATGGCTGCTTCTTACATAACTCAGAATGATTCTAGAGAAAGCTATGTCCCTTTCCCTGAAAAATCAAGATGATTTTACAAGAAAGAGTGATATAATAGGTGAGGGTTACATATATAGATCCCAGTGGCCTCCAGAGCAAGGATTTGTGATCCCAGCTTTTTCAGTCCCTTATCTTCTGTGCAACAGTTGCGCACTTTCAACCATCACAAGACCAAAGAGATTCTGCAGGGTACCTACATCTGCTGTGATTCAGCTTAAGTCGGATTTGTGTCTCTGTGAAGACAGATGCTTCGACTTGGTTGAAACTGTTTGGTTTTCAAATATATTCAGAAGTCCTTAAAAAAAAAAGAAAAGACAAAACTATAATTGATAAATAAATCTCAGAACTGATTCTTTAACAGAATAACTCAGTATATAAATCATTAAACCACTAATGAATCTACTCAAGGAAAAAATACGATAGTATTTTTAAAAAAGAGATGACGCTGACTAAAAAACAGCAGCAAACATGACACTGAACTCTCCTTCTCCCATACACAGAAAACTGTGTTTGTGGGTCCATTTTTCACTCAGATTTTCCACATATGCATCCATGTCTGAGTAATCTTACTTTGACCTGTCAGTTTTTTCCTATATATCACAGAGAGGCTCTAAAATTATGACTTGTGATGGTTACACAATGTTTCTTTCAGTTAAAGTGCTATGATTTTCTGAGCTGCTGCTCTGCTATTTTATTAATACATTTAGGTTGCCTCTGGACTGGATCTAATTTTAGATCATTCTGAGTTCTGTGGGTGCATGCAGCTTTTCTTCTTTCCTTGTTTCTTCCATTGCAGGTAAGTTCCCAGGAGTGGGGTTTCTGGGTCATGGCTTAAAGGATCACCAGACCATTTTTCACAAATTTCATACAGATTGACAATGTCCCCCAATGCAATGTGACTAGGAAAAGAATAAAAGTATACATACTAAAGGTCAGTTTTACACAGTTAATCTTGGCAAACTCCTGAAGTAGGTATAATTTCCTCTATTTTATCAATGGACAAGAGGAGGAGGAGGAAATTAGGTCCCGAATTGTAAAATTAATTGCAGAGCCGTATTTTTAACTCCAAAGCCTTGCCACCTCCCATGATAACTGAATATGCAAATTTCTAGGTAACCTTCCAGCAGTGGTTGCTGTTACTGTTGTTTTTACTAGTAGTTGTAAAATGATAATCCAGACTTGCCTTAATTTGTATTTTATTCCATAAATGATTCTTCATTTCACCATTTATCTTTTTATAATCTTGATATTTTTCTTTCACAAGTATGAAAAATTTGCATCAGATACAAATCATATACAAATGACATCCTAACTCTGCTTTCTTTCCTTTTCTGGTTCTTTTTCATCGTTAGAGCGCCTCAGTGTTTCCATAGGAAAACTGTTCCTTTTCATAGGTTAATTTTAAAATCTGAGAGAGTTGTTCATTATCCAGAGGTCTGACATTTTTATTCAATTTTCTGTTCCTATTTTTCTCTCACAACTTGTGAAAATTTTTAACCCTATTCTATGTGGAATCTTTTGCAAGGAAAAGTAACACTTCAAATGTTCAGCATTCAGGAAACTGCTTAATAAACCGTGATTGCTCTTAAGTACAAGAAAATAACTCGGCCATGAGATGAGGATAATCATGATCAGGGAGGTGAAACTGCTTTGTTGTTAAGAATCTGGAGACGAGGAAACTGAAAAACAAGATGGTGAGGGTGGTGGGCTTATGATTTTAGATGGTACCAAAAGAAAAGGGGGAAAAAAAAACCGAAAAAGGACAGAAAAAAACGGACTTCTCCTCGTTGTGGCAAACGTGAAGGTGCCACCCCTACTGGCAGATGAGGGTGGTTCTCCGAGAAGCGCCTGATCCCCTCCCCTCAGTCTCCTTATGGCCGAGATTCCTCCTTCCGGAGGGTCAGTCGAGGCAGCGAAAAGCAAAGGCTTTTGGCTTCACCACATCTGAGCTCCCAGGAAACACTGCTCCCGGTACCTGGATTTCTCTGGCCTGGAGTGAGGGCCGGGTCGCCCATGATTCCCCTCGCCGAGGCCGAAGCCCAGGCCACGCCCGCCCGAGCGATACCCACGCGGTTGCCAGAGACTCACCCGCAGCGGCTACCCAGGTACCTCCCAGCCGCGTGATGGCAGGCAGGGCCGCCCCTCGGGAGGAGTTCGGCAGCAGCGGCTGGGGGCCCACGGGCGCTCCGGCACTCCTCACCGCCGAGGTCGGGCCCCGTGGGGCGCCAGCTTCCCCCACCCCCAATTCCGCGTCTCCTCTGGGCATCGGGAGGGCCCAGATCCCGGGGCCTCTCCCTTGTTCTTCTGAGCTCGCCAGCGGTTCCTCGGACCTGCGGCCCCTCTACCGGTGCGATTCGCCCATCCCACTCCTGCAGTGGACGAGCGTGGGAGGGGGCTAGATTCCTACACACCACCCACATACCTCGGGAGGGGGACCAGCCAGCCGCGGCCCCCGTCCACATTCCGAGTAAATGGGGCTCCCCTAACCAGGAGGGCAAAACCGAGCGGCGGCTGCCAAAAGCCAACGAGCACGCTAAACAGGCCCGACGTTCCCCGCGCCCGCCGGAACGTCCCCAGTCCTCCTCAGGGTCAAGGTCTGCCTCCCACCCAATCCGATTCGGCTGGGTGCCCGGGGGCCTCGGCCGCCAGCCCCGAGGTTGGGCGGCCTCCGCTGGGAGTTTAAAGGACTACGTGGCTGTTTACCTGCCTCTGCGAAAAAGAAGACGCTCTCTGCTCTGCGGCTGTCAGCGACTGGCAACTAGGGCGGGTGAGTCGTCAGGCGGAGGAGGAGGTGCAGGGGCGGGGAGGCGACGGCGCGCGCACGCTCAGGCGCACCCGCTGCCGATGCCCGGGGTTTACTGGCAGACCCAGGAATCTAAGTCCCTGGGCAGAACGAGTTGAGACTAGCTTAAACGCTAGCATCAACTAATATCGCCTCGCCGGCTCATCACTCCCTGAAATTGCTTGTTGACGATAAAAATCATCTTTAAAGGAAAAATCGGCCAAAGCCCCAGCTTATCGTTACGTAATAGAGAAAATGAAAGATTAGGGAATGAGAAAGCAATTTCTGGAACTTTGGTAACCAGAAATTTCTAAAAAGGACAAAAATTCTACTACCCTGGATTGAGCCCAATGTTTGTGGATTTTCAGATTAAAATTTGAGGCCTAGAAAGGATATTAGCTATCACTTGCCGTCATTTACTCAGTTCCTGCTCATCGTCTACAAAATAAATGATTAAATTATGATATTCATAAATGAGGGAAATGCACTCCATTTAACAAGTCCATTCTGCACATTATCTGAGGTTTCTTGTATAAAACATAGTGTGTTCTTGATCATTATTACTGCCAAAATTTTATGTAGGGGTTTGTCTCATGTGAAGGATGGCAAGCGGTAGAAGACAGGTGTTAAGGTTAGAGGGATCATATACATCATTACCCAAATTTGGGCACTTAATATTTGAGTACAAATATTAATTATGCAGGGTCAATGGGTATAAACCTGGGAAAAATGAGGTATCTAGTCCCCTTGTTATGGGCAGGAGGCTCCACTAAGCTTGCAAGGAAAGAGGTTTTAAAATATTGAGACACCCATTAGGTTAAATATCTCAGGGTGGATCTCTCAAATAGGACGGGGACAAGTGAGGGAGTCGAGAGGCCCAGAGAACTGTGTAGAATGAAGTGATATATTTATGAATGTGAATGGGGACCTGAAAGTTCTGCTGGGAAGGAGAAATGAGAGGTCTATAAAATATGACGATGGGATGAAGATGATTCAGTAATGGAAATGGATTGTGGCCAGTTATAAATGAGTATTAGGCAGCAATGCCAGGGCTGTTTTCTATCCAGTCAGTCTGTTGTAGCCACGCATTCTGGGAAACAAACTCACTCAGAAGGACAATGCAGATAGTGGAGTGCAGTTTTTTACACCAGCAGGCCCAAGGCAGAGTCTCCTCTTAGCCAAGGACCCCAACCAGCATTTGTGAAAATCTTTTATACCCCATGTGTATGTGTCCAAACCCACCACCCCAAATTCCTTGAGACTTACATAAACAAAGGAAGGGTAAATACAATCCCAGTAACCCTATCACTCTTGTGCCATGTGCTCAGACAGTTAAACAATTAGCCAATAATCAATAAGCCCGAGGTTACACTCCGACAGGTACAGAAAATTTATGGCCTGTCTGGAGGAAGGGGTAATTAGTGTATGTGTTCTCTTAGGCGATGAGTAACCTGGATACGATCTGCAAGTTTCCCCTGTCCGGAGGGGGTCTTATCCTTCTGTTGTCCTTTCCTTAGGCACTAAACACAGAGTCCATTGGAGAGGTGGCCGAGCATGATCAGCATGAACAGGCCTAAGGTGGAGTCCAGGCCCTATGAATTCTTTCTTCAAGTCTTACATAATGATTAAGTTGACACTACTTACCTTCTTTCCTCAGAGATTGTTTATTGTGAGATACATTGGGGGCAGTGAAGCATCTCTTTGAGTCCTGAGCTGGGTGGAGCTGGGAGTAAGTGACCAGATCAGGCTGGGCAAGAGACTGACTTTCCCCTGCCAGGAGGGGCAATGTAAAGCTTGTTTAGAAGATGCCAAAACTCAGCCATTTTCCTCAAAAGAATCCGATGTCACCTGGCTTGAATGCTTCCCTTCCCTCCCCCAACCCGGAAAATGCTCAAAAGGCAATATAGTTCGTGAGGGTTTGAGGGAACCAAATGACATTGCCTTTTGTTCCTATTCTGGCTATTGTTGCCATGTAGCAACTACTCCAAAACTTAATGGATTAAAGAAACCACCATTTTATTATGCCCATGAACTGTGTAGGCCAAAGAGTTGGACATGCACAATGAGGACATGACTCTGCCCCATGACATCTGAGGCTGCTATTGGGAAGACTCAGTGTCTGAGGTTGACTTGATAGCTGGGAGTTGGAATCAGTTCAGTCACTTGCATGGCTCGCACCTGGGCTGGGAGGACTTGAAAATCAGGTGTACTGATTGAAGTGCCTTCCCCATGACTTCCCCATGACTTCCCCATGTGGCCTGGCTTCCTCCCAGCATAGTAGTCTCAAGTTTGATGAGCTTCTTACCTGTCTTAAGAAGTCCCAAGAGGACCCAAGTGTGAGACTTTAAACATGGAAGCTGCATTGCCACTTCTCACATAGTCTCAAAAGTCACATAACATCACCTTCACTATATGCTATTGACCAAAGTAGTCATATGCCCATCCAGATTCAAGGGCAGGGATCATGGACCCCATCTCTCAATGGGAAGAGTATCAAAGAATTTGTGGCCATTTTTGAAAACTGCCATTATGGGGTTGTAGTTTCTTAGGGGCTTTCATTGGCCTCGTGAACAGCATCACGTTGGTCAGGCCAGAGGAGAAAGCTTTTGCAAATGGCCCTACATCATTCCTCATCTCAGTCTCTACCATCACCACAACTACTATATCCCATTATATATAAGGAAGGCCATTTCTGAACTGAATGACAAGCATGTTCGAGGGTTTGTCCTCTGGGACCTGGCTGTGCTGAGGTTATGGCACCATGAAGACATTTTTTGAAAGTCTCCCTTTGCATCTCCCGTGTCCTGGCTCAAAGTTACCTGTCAACATCACATAGATCCCCCTCAGCAAACATGGAGAAGCTAAAGAAGTCAAACTCTCTGTTTATCTTATTTTCAAAAGAAGAATTATAACCTAGTGTGAATTAGATAGTTATAGTTTCTGACCTTAGACAGTAAAGGGAATACAGGAAGCCACATAGAAAGTGACCAGGTCATGCAGGGCCTAACAGCCAATGACCAGGTCTTTAGATTTTAATTAAATGTGATAGGAAGCTCTTGAAGATTTAAGCAGGGTGGTGACATGACTTTATTTCAAAGACCATTCTGATTGTTGTGTGGGGCCTAAGGGGCAATGGTGGGGCTTGGTGGTAGAGGAGGTATTCTGAAATGGTGAGAAATGGAGGAGGACCAAGTTTTAGAGGCAACAAATTTTAGAGAATTTCTTCCATTTTGGGTATGTAGAATTTTAGTGTAACCTCCAGATTGGGAGGGTTGGTGCTGAAGATGTGCATTTAGAAATTGTCAGTAAGAATCTGCCTGCAGTACAGGAGACCTGGATTTGATCCCTTGGTCGGGAAGATCCCCTGGAAAAGGAAATGGCAACCAGTATTCTTGCCTGGGAAATCCCATGGACAGAGGAGCCTGGTGGACTAGAGTCCATGGGGTTGCAAAGATTTGAACATGACTGAGGTGACTAAACCACCACCAGTATTTAGATGATTTTCAAAGTTGTGAGCTTGGATGATAACATCAAGGGAGAAAGTGTAGCCAGAGGAAAGAAGAGGAATCAGGACTGAATGGTAAGAAACTCAGACAGTTTTAGATCATGGTTCTTAGCTTTCAGTGTGCATCACCTGGGGTCTGGATAAAACACAGATTCCTGGGCCCACTCTCAGTTCAATTCAGTTCAGTCACTCAGTCGTGTCTGACTCTTTGCAACCACGTGGACTGCAGCACACCAGGCCTCTCTGTCCATCACCAGCTCCCGGAGTTTACCCATTGAGTCAGTGATGCCATTCAACCATCTCATCCTCCATCATCCCCTTCTCCTCCTGCCCTCAATCTTTCCCAGAACCAGGGTCTTTTCCAATGAGTCAGCTCTTTGCATCAGGTGGCCAAAGTATTGGAGTTTCAGCTTCAACATCAGTCCTTCCAATGAACACCCAGGACTGATCNTGAGTCAGCTCTTTGCATCAGGTGGCCAAAGTATTGGAGTTTCAGCTTCAACATCAGTCCTTCCAATGAACACCCAGGACTGATCTCCTTTAGGATGGACTGGTTGGGCCCACCCTAGAGATTCCGATTTGGTAATTCTGAGATGAAGTCCAAGAATCTGCATTTCTCATGGGTTCCTAGATGCTGCTGATCTGCTGAGCCACACTTTGAATTAGAAAAAGAGAAGATAGCAAGAGAGACTGAAAAGTGACAGCCAATGAAGTAGGAGGATATTAAGAGCGTGAGAGAGTAGGTGCCTTTCAAGAAGGCAGGGCTCAGCTATAGAGAGACCAAATAGAATGGAGGTGGGAAAGAACTCACTGGATTTGGTGACATGGAGGTCGTTATTGGGGCCTTGATGGGATTAGTTTCAAGACAGTAGTAAGAACACACAGAGTAAATTGATGAAGAAATGGAAGGTGAGGGAGTAGAGACAATTCTGAGAAGTTTTGTCCTGGAAGAAGCAGAGAAATAGGCATTAGCTGGAGGAGAGTATGGGTGTAATGGAGAGTATTTTTAACTTTCTCTAATAAAGAGGGTCATCTTTAGGATGGGCCCATTCATTGGGAGTATTCATGTCCTCAAAGACCTCATTCCTCCCCTTTCTCCCCTCTGACTTTCTCAGTTCAGCAATTTAAGGTATTGCATCAGAAATTACATTTTTTCTAGGATGAATGATTGTGAATTTAAAGAGAAACCATCATGCTGCAGACGTATTACAGGCGGCTATATCTCTCCACTCTTTAAACACATAAAATGATTCCTTAGTGGCTAGACTCCAGGGTCTGGGGTTCAGATTTTCTGACAACCTCTCTCCCTGAATCCCCCCTGGGCTTCAGTTCTGCTAGGCTAGTTGCTCCTTCTTTAACTGCCTTGCCTGAGGCTCTACTCAAGCAGTTTCCTCAGTCCTGAATTCCTTCACACCCCTCTCTTCTGTGAAGCTGTCCATATTTCCCCAACAAAACTCCACCATCTCCCTCCTGCTCCAGCAGCAACTGGCTTGTATCATCCAGTGCCAT